CGGGGAGGGTGCAGACATGAAAAGGCGCCGCGCCGCCGCGTGGCCCCTCCCAACTCACTTAGCACCGGCGGGCCGAGTACTGTAATTGCTGTTTGAAGCAGCGACAACTAAAAAAGATTCGCCGCATGCCGCAAAACGAACGTAGGGAATCAGGGAGAAGTTCCGTCACTCATTTTTGGTTGTGTGTACCTGGTCCATATCAATTTTGGAGCCCTTCTTATGCTCTGTCCAGGCCAATTTTCAGCTCTACGAAGTCCCATATAGTATCCTTGGAGGTCACAGAAACCATTTTCATCGTGAACTGCACCTTTGAGTGCTATAATGCACCTCGTTTCAACGAAAACTGAGTGAATATTTTAGAAATCTTCTTGAAATTTTCACTCTGAAAAAAAAACTCGGGGTCGAACACTCTTGAAACAACAAAAAGTACAGCAATTCTGCACAAATTTCATGTCATCAACTTAAAAAAACAGAAATCACAAAATGTTCAGTATATCCAATGTTCAAACATACATCAAGAAAAAGGAAAAAAAGATTAATAACACGGTGAGTAATAATGATTAGTAATATAGTGAAGATTGTAACCTCTCAAGGTCCTGAACAATATTCGAATCAATTAAATACAAATCAAATCACAACATCCTGATACATTCTCACTGGAAATCTCGGCGAAATTCATTTAGCTTTACTGGCCAGGTTTCCTGATTTACCAGCACTACAGGGAATGAGTTAGGCTATCATAGATCGTATATAAGAAACAAAAAATGTTCAAAAATTCCAAAATACTTCATACTCATGCACCTATCACGAAATATACTTATTCACTGCAGCTTTGTCTGGATAAACGTCAGTCATGGTAAACAAATAAATAAATGAACGCTTGAAATAACAAGAAAGAGACCCCAGAAAGCGAACCGACCAACTTTGAGAAATCTCAAGAATTACGATTTGGAGAAGCTTCTAAAATGACTTTTTTGAACTGCAGTGGTTCTAGAACGATCTTCCTGAGATATTCGGTCAACCAATCCATCTGGCGAAAGTACTGGTTTATATTTACTTTGTCCACACTTCGATCAGGTCATTGCATCAGCCCATTACACATTCAAAATGCCCCAACGATCTGAATGGTAGCCTGATGCTGACGCACAAAACGGGAGTGATCGACGCCAAAATGCCAACTCTATGCCTTATTCTCTTTGTTGTCCAAAGAAGCATAGATCGAACCATTGGACGGATGGCAGTCTATTTTGTGGAATCCATGGAGTTGTTAGACTGAGAGTACCCTTTCACGTAGAGTAGCCTCACGTCTCCGCTACGCGCTTTACTTGCACTGTGAAAAAGGCCAGCGGAGTTTTTGCCTGGGCTTAGAATACTATTTCTGCAGTCTGCTCTCAACTGTTGAGTGTGAGTTAAGAACCCAATCTGAAGCTAGTGAAAAATATCGGAGCAAAGAACCTTAGTTATACATAGGGAACAGCAGAGAAAACAGTTTTGTAGTCCAAGATGACATCTTACCTATGCCCCTCGAGCGAATATTTGCAAATACTCCAATTTCATTATTTGGTATATAAGAATTGTATTGATATTGAGATACATATATAACAAGCACTATAACTTCATCTGTGACCAGGCCCTTTTCTTCCGAGTTTTGACAATTATCCAAACAGAACCGCTGAATTCCAACTAGTCGATGTAACACTACCGACAACTATTGAAACTACAACACAAACAAAATATTAGAAGAACAAATCTCCGAAAACAAATAACATTTAGGTCCCATTCATAGCATGCGCCGCTGGAGGACCGGAACACATAGAGGTTTCACTGAACTCGTATCAATTCACACTTCGAGAACCGTTCCCAAAAGTTTCTTTCTTCTAGGTTCCTTCACAATGGATCTAACGGCGCACCCAATTGCTCTAGTTAATAGGTAAAGAATCCTTTTTGTGAAATACCTTACTTCCTAGTTAGGCGCAAACTATAAACACGCCCTTACACTACCAAAATATGAAATCACACACCCTGGATTTACCTTCAGCGAATCGTCCAACCCGATTTGGTTAGTATTCGATAACGATGGTAAGCATTAACTATGGGAAATATGAACTATGAAGATTCAACCTAAACTGTTCCTAGTAACACAACCTGATTTGAATGATATAATATTCTCCATAATGTTCAGAAATCGGAAACAATCGAACTGAGGCATCCGTTATAAAATACCACTGGTGAACGGAGGAACACCACTAAAGGTCGCACCACACTGACCAGCATCATAATCGCCATAACCCTTCATATCGACATTGTTTGAGGTCACTTCGTTAACCTAAACTCTTGCAAAATTACTTTCGTGCTTATATGAATTCACTTAGCTCTTTCATCTGATCGATTTTCACTCTTGGCAATTTATTTCCCGAATATATTTGAAACCTATATGGTAAAATATCCATCGAAGAACGATCAGAGAGAGCTTCTAAGGAGCTGACTTGCGTGATTCGATGAGGAGTTTCTAGCAGACGACAAGCAAATCTTCCATATTCCTGGCTTCGAATCCCCTCATCTGATCGGAAGCAACTCAGATCCTCTACAACCAAAGAAAGTCGGCATGAACTGGCCTGCAGTAGATACTACCTGAGTGGGATCTTCATCACGTATCTGTTGCTTAGTTGCCGAATGCAATTCATATGGAAGTCCATTGAGATTCGCCAAATTGAACAAAGCAAGAAATTGAACATTGTCGTCTTCTTGTTGTGACAAATGCTAAATTTTGAAAATATGTCATATATTGGGGTTTGGTGCAGTTGGATGGGTCAAAACCTCTCAGCTGTAACCCTGAAGAAAAAGCATCAAACACAGGGTGTAGGTGGTGTAACGTCAAGTGGCGCACGATCACACAAGCATGGTGACAGAATTGGATGCCGGATCGGTCGACCAGGCTTTCCATTCCCCGGTGGAAGATTAGTCGTTACAGGACCAGACTCATCTAATAATAAGAAGGGGAAAGCACCGAATGCCCAACATTGTTCGGCCACCACACGTTATCATTGTGTAGGCCGTACTCGCACTTGAACGTCTTTACAGTTCTGAAGAGAAGTCGAATACTAAGGCGCGCTCCAAAACGGAATTCATTAACGACAGGAACTCTATTCTTACCCCGATTACAAAGGTGAGATGAGGCCTTTTTGATGTCACTGATCGTGAGTAGCAGTTTTCAGTGTCATCATCTGTCGTCCCACTTACATATTTCCCATTTACGAATTTCAAACCGACTCATATTGAGGTCAAGACACTGTTCTTTACTCAGCATCTGTGGGTGATAATACCACGTGTCACATGTGGAATGAAAACTAATCAAACTCATTTGGATCATTGTGGATAAAAACAGTTGTCGTGAAAAGTCAGAAAGGACGAATTGCAGTGAGGTTATTGACCTTGACCGATTCAACTGTCCGTGTCCCAAAGAAAGTGACTGGGTATCTAGTTCCTACAGACATTCATGATTTCAAAAGTTGAAGTGAAACCAGAAAAATACTCACTTCAATACTGGGCAAGAGCAATAGCAATTTTGAGATTCGTTGAGCGACTTCGATAGCCGAAAAAGCTGGATACTCGTGTTGAACATGATGGTAGAGCGCGTCTATGAACTTGTTACGAACTTTTGTCACATGAAGCTTGCCTTCCTCTGACAGACGATGATCTGAAATTATATACTATGGATTCTAGATGAAACAAAAAAAATTCATAGATCGGAGGATAGCAAAACTGTCTTCTCGTCCGAAGAGGAGCATCTTTCAAGTCTAATAGGCGGACAATAATGATTAAGAAATGGTGGGAGGAAGCAACCGTCAATCAATCGACCTAAGATTGCTGCTAACCGATAAAGTCCGAAACGATAAAGCCTTAAGCACTAAACAATCTCATTTTTGGGATGCGCCACGGCTCTAAACTTCTGTGCGGATGGTAGAGCTGTTTTGAATGCGTGTAAGGGCTATACCATGACTGGATGTGGCCGACCAATATATAAGTAAGACCTCGATCCCCGAACTGTCCGGTGCCAACCAAGCGACCTCGGTAGGATGGAAGGCTTGGTTAGTCAAGGTGAGTATCGGCCAGGATACGATCCCCGGACGTTAAGTGTGGGTGATAGTGCGTCACTTATCACTACCACCTCCGCCCTACCAATAACAGTACTCATTATCCTCTCACTTAGGTCGCTGATGTCATGGATTTTGTGACAATCCCATCTCAATTCAAAAGACTGCGACTACGAATAAATGAGAGTGGGCCAGAAGTGGGGAATTCAGGGAGTCATTAAGGGCATTGCCAGCCAAAACTCCCCTCAACCACCCACATGGCAAGCATTTATTTGCGTCACGAGCTTGACAGTCACCCTTGTTCTTTTCGTAGCATTACAAAAAGATATTAAATTTTTTGACACTTACCAACGCGGAACAGGATCAGCACCTTCAGCAGACAGAATTCTCCTTCATTCATGTTCATCTCACGCATAGGGAAAACTAAATCCTGCATGAGGTGTTCGGACAGAATCGAGAAATAGTGGTTGCACCTGAAACAAGCCGACATCACAGTTGAAAAGTGGCTTATGCCTCTCTTCTATGATAAGGCATGTTTCGGGGGACAGTGAAACCTATCTGCGGATCAAGGCAACTGGGCATATTTCTACAGTCTTAGGTAGCCTAGTTGGGTGTATCAGGTACCGTTAAATGGAACGAATTACTCGCCATTCGTTTCGACATGGACTCAATGTTCGCGAAGTATCGCACGACGTGTCCTCCAACAATAATCTGTCAACTACGCAACATACCCTGGATCCAATGTCTTCTGCAGATCTTTGTCACGTGGGTACCAACTGCCATTCACTAGCGCCACACCATCGCATCCACTTTTGAATGTCTGCAATTATCAGAACCCTTGCTTCCGTGGTGTACCACGACTTTTATGAACCACAAAGAACAGAAATCTATAGAGTTTCAAAAGAAATCTGTCACGCACTTTTTATACAGACGTAAAGAAATACTGGGCTTNAATCTCAAGAATTACGATTTGGAGAAGCTTCTAAAATGGCTTTTTTGAACTGCAGTGGTGAGTTCTAGAACGATCTTCCTGAGATATTCGGTCAACCAATCCATCTGGTGAAAGCGCTGGCTTATATTTACTTTCCACACTTCGGTCAGGTCATTGCATCAGCCCATTACACATTCAAAATGCCCCTACGATCTGAATGGTAGCCTGATGCTGACGCACAAAACG